GAGGCGCCCGGGAGGCATTTGGAACAGATGCCTGAGCCACTTGACGTGGAGGAGCAGCGTCTCTACTCCGAGCTCCTCCTGTGTGACTGAGCTCCTCACCCTATCTCTAAGGGAGCGCCCAGCCACTCTGCGAAGGAAACTCATTTCGAGCGCTTGTATCCACGATCTCGTCCTTTCGGTCATTACCCAGAGCTCATGACCATGGGTGAGGGGAGGAAGGTGGATTGAGCGGTAAATCAAGAGCTTTGCCTTCTGGCTGAGCTCTTCTCTCAAATAGAAAACTCTGTTCCACCTTGTGATGTCATGTGGTAGAAAAGGAAGTGCTCCACACACCTTCACTAGAATCATTTGGGTGATTTCAACCCTGGAATTGCCAATCTCAAATGAACTAAAGGTAAAAGATAGCTGTTAATATGAAAATCAAAACACTGGAAAAAAAACAATATCTAGGTAAGTTAAAATGACTTAAATTAAAAACATTTTACTTTATTTGAGCAGATTCAAATTGACAAGTAAAATGATCTACCAGTGGAATAAGTGTGTTTTATTAATTCAAGCAACATTCGATTTTGTTTCTTATTTTAAGTGCAAAAAGGTGTTGTTTTTCTTATTTTAAGTGTAGCGAAATGCATTTTCATATTTTAATTACAAAAAGTGTTATTCCACTGGCAGATCATTTTACTTGTCAAGTGAAATTTACTCAAATCATGTTAAAACTTTCTTAATTCAAGTCATCTTAACTTGGCTAGATTTTGTTTTTTGCAGGGAAGGTGGAGCAGAGCATTTTAAGATTTGGAGATGTAGACAGTCTAATAAACCAGGATTACTCAAAGATGTGTGAATGAAACAAAACAGCATTATAAATGACCTTAAAAGCTCACAAGAGTCAGTTTTGTGTAATGTAGGACCTTTAAATAAGTGTTCATTAGCTCGCCTTTCAAAAAATGACACTAAGTTATGGCAATTCCTATTAATAGAGCAGACAGACTGAATAGCGGCTTCCAGTTTGTGCCACCCGTCAGTATGTCCACTAATCACTCACATGTCACATTCATATATAGGCAAGGCGCGTGAGGTATCTTGCTCAAGGACACAACAACAGCATACAATTACTTGGCTGGGATCAAACTGCTGACATATGGTCGGACAAATGAACCATTAAAGTTCCTACATTACGCAAATTTGCCTCTTGAGAGCTTTAAGTCACGTTGCAATGTTGTTGCCTTCTCAAAAATATACCGTATTTTTCAAACTATAAGTCGCACTTTTTTTCATGCTTTGCGTGGTCCTGCGACTTATACTCCGGTGTAACTGCCATGAGAGGGGGCGCTCTAGTCTTGTGTGTCAGTATCTGCTGCTCCTGTTACTCCTGTACCACTGTCACTTGGCTCTACTGCGCATGTCTCCTGCAGAAAGAGCCTCTGTCCTGTCTGTATCATGTCAGTCGATCGCAGCACTACTTCTGCACCACTGAAAATTTAAACAAACTTATAAAGACGACTAAGAAGACTGAACACAAATGCCCCCAAAAAGAAAATCATATTTTGCAGATTACAAGCTGCAAGTAGTGAAACATGCAACTGAAAATCATAATCGAGCATCAGAAAGAAAGTTTGGAGTGAGTGATAAACTTCTGACAATTGGGAAAGTGCGCCATGCAAAGTCACTGGATGCATGAACTTGAGTGACAACTGAAACCATCCTGTTGGGATTCAGAAAGGTCAAAATAATTCTAACTGGAACTGATGCTGAGTCTGACGACAGCTACACAGAAGAGGAAGCGGCGCTCCGTTTACCTCCGGTCGTTGCTTAAAAGTAACACGGAGGATGAAGAATTAAATGGCTTTAGTGATTTGGAGTGAGATGGAGAGTTTGGTAAACTTGTTCTGTTCTGTTGTTTATGCTGTAGTGTTATGACCCAGCTCTGCTAGGGACAGGGAAGTAACAAAAACAAAACCAAGATGTAAAATGGAATAAATTAAATCATGTTTAATTAACAGGAATGTAAAGGTAAATTAACAAAACAGATTAAAATATATACGGAAAATAACCTAAACTTTAAGAAACAAAACCACGGACTAGTGTTTTGTGTGACAAAAGGGGTCACGCAGGCTTACACAAAACGAGTGGTAAAACTAAGGGACACACACAAACTAAAACACAAATTCCCCAAATTAAACCTCATGAGCCCACAAACAGAATCAAGTGACCCAATTAAAAAAAGGCACAAAACAGAACTAAACTACACACCTAAACACAAAATGGAAGACTGGCCCCCAGGGTCAGCAGCCCCGATCAGGTGCTGTTAATCTCCTTTAGTAAGGGGGCGGTGGCTGCAGGTGAGGTGGGCGTAGACATGCCCCACCAATCACGGGCCAGGACTCCCACAGCAGGAATCAGGGAGTGCTCAGCAAAATCATTCAGAACACACAAAACAAATTAGAACAAAAGACCTGGGGCTGTAACATATAGTTATCTGAAGAACTGTTCACTGTTGTTC